TGAAATTCATATATTTTTACCCCTCTGTGGGTTACTTTTCACTTTTGGTGATATAAAATGATCAAAAGGTGTCAATTTTAATATAAACCAATTTATCCTTTCCTTTAGAGTTAGCACCTTTTATATCCTGCTTAAGAAATCTCTCCCCACTCCAAGCCATTGAAAATGGTCTGTTTTCTTTTAAAAGCTTTATTGTTTTACTGTCCATCTGCAACCCACCTTGAATAGATTTTGTGTATGGTGTGAACTTGGAGCTAACATTTTTTTCACATGGGTATCTAATTGACTGGGATCTGTTTTTCATCCTCCGTTGTTCTATTTGTCTTATCCTTCCACCAATACTACTCTATCTTAATCACTGTAGCTTTACAGTAAGTTTCTACACCTTGTAGTCTGGTTTTTTTTTTTCAAGATTATTTTAGTCATTCTTGGTTCTTTTTATTTGAATGTAAGTTTTAGAGATCAATGTCTACCAAGAAAGGTTTGGCTTTTGATTATTATGTTTGGCTGTTGGTTAAGAGTGTACTAAATTTATAGATCTTTAACAACTTTAAAAATGGCTACTGTCTTTATAATTCATGAATATATATTCTTCCATTTATTCAGATTTTTAAAACTTTATACATTTATAAATATAAATGTCTTACATATATTTTGCTAATCCTAGGTATTTTGTATGATACTCTGGAAGGTGGGGTTTAGGCAACTTCCCCAATTCAATACCATCAGAAGAAAAGAAGACAGCACATAGATATTTATTCTTAGACAAGTGGAGAAGGAAGGAAGGAAGGAAGAAAAATGGTGGGAAGAAGAGGAGGGAGAGAAAGTGGATCTTTCTCTTGAACTACTGGAAGCAAGCAGCTGCTAACCTGTTCTACCCTCTGGATAGACTCACTGCCAAATTTGTGAACATTTTCCACTGTGGCCCCTGAAGCAGACATCTGACTATAAACCAGGTCTCCAGTACACCAACTCTACTTCTGCCAGAAAGGAGACCCCACTCCTCATCAAGGATACTTGCAGCCTTACGGAGGGAAAGTCAACCTTTCTCGCAGATTCCAGGGTTGGAAAGATCACGCTTTTCTCAGGCAAACCCTTTCTCCCCTATTTGAAGCTCAAAATCCATCTACACTAAGTGTTCGCTATGTGACATGCACTGTGATAGATAAAAGGCAAAATTGGTAAACCTTTCTAGAGGTCAAACTCTAATAGGATAACGGGAAACAACCACAAAAACCAGTAACTGCCCATTATGAGGGAAAAGCACAGGAAGACAAATGGAAGAATGAAAAGGATTTAATCAGGCCAAGAGTGACACAAAGAATATTCTAAAATGAGAACAGGAAGAAGGAAGGAAGGAGCTTGGATGTCAAGGTAATCAACTTCAAATAGCTGTAGTGCTGGGGAGGATAGCAGTAAGCGGGTGTAGGGCAGGCCCAGATCACGCAGGCCTTGACGTCCATGCTGAGGACTTTGGATTATATTCTAAGAGCAATCAGAACTTTGGATAGAAATTTAAAGGTTCATTCCTTATCGGAGTCATCTATTCATCAGCTCATATTTAACTGAGATGCTTTTTCTTCTGCTTCACTCTAATTCCTGGCACATTCTAGAGAGCTCTGCCATCCAAAACTTGTCAACTACTCAAGGTCCTGGCCTCCACTGACCTTCACTCCCATTGCTAGTGGGTTTCCCTTCATTTTCCAACTCCTCCACCTCTGAAAGTCAAATTCCAGCGTTTCATTCTTGGACTATAATTTCTCAGGAATTCCACCCCTCTCCCCTATCACACCTATCTTCTGACCTCTAAAAAGTTTATGTGATTAGAAAAAGAACTGCTACAAAAGAAGCAAAATTTCATCAGAATAAGTGAAGTAAAATAAAAGCACATGTAGGAGAAATTATTACTCTTTTCCCTACTCCCACAAAGGCATGTAAGGATCTATACCTTCTTTCACACCCATATCAACATACGTGGGCTTACACACACACAGAGATGTTTCTAATTATGACAATGAATCACACCGAACACATAATTTTGTGATTGTTTTTCACCTAAGAATAAAAACCATGACTAAATAACAAGCCAGCAGGCAGATCAAACTCATTCTTTAAATTGCTACATTTTCCCAACTGCAGACCAGACTTGTGGCTCACCTCCAAGGAGGGCTTCATTTGCTATTGGTTGCACCCAACCTGCTGACCTGAGAAAACTGGACAGGGGCTCTCCAGCAATGTGCTTTCAGCGTTGATAGCAGGGAAAGAACTGCAGCTTGTGACTGAAAAAGTCAGGGGACAAAATAGTTCCTCATCAGAAACTCAGCAGATGGTACCAGGTCTGCTAGGCCCATGAGAACAGAAGTCATCACAACTTTTACCACTTAGGAGTTTGCTACTGCTCAGCAGATGTGCAGAACAGGCTCTTGGCAGGTACTGAGGGAACCACAGCCATGAGTAGGCAAGGAAAGTTGAAACTCACTGCTAGAACTTGGAAGGAAAGACGGCCAGCAGAACAGAAATAAGAGATGCTTACTGAAGTAGAACCAATGGAAGAGACAGAAGAAAATTTTAATGAAAATATAATGGAATTACAGAACTCAAAAAAGACCTTTACGAAGTAAAAAAAAGCACATGAGTTTTTAATTAAAAATTCAACATTCCAGCAGAAAAAGAGAATGACTGGCCTTAAAAACCACACTAGTGGTCAGACAAATCAGGTTGAAGAAATACTTCATAAGAAACACAGTAACAGATGCCCTGCTGAAAAAGGCCACATCACATGGAGACCAGATCCGGAAGAAAGGAACACAGGAAGAAGCAATAATAGCATAGATAGTGGAAGAAATCTTTTACAACTTAATAAAGTCTTGAGGCCCAGACTATCAACATCAGGGGAAAATGTGGCAAACCTATTGGAACTGTGAGAAACAAGCTTCCTGGGCTGGTGGAAAGCTGGAAGCAGAAATACCTAGTGCTCAGGGACACCAGAGCACCGACTCTGGGGCCCTCCCATGGGCACATTAAGCAAGAAGTTGCTGCCTGAACTGCATATCCAGACCCTGTCTCAAAAAGACAAAAAAAAAGCTGCTAAACTTCATCTGTTATTGTGTCACTGTTAGCTAAGAACCAACCTTAAGGACTTTGTAGTACGCTTATCTCAAACACTGCAGGTACCAATTTTTAAAATGCCACAGACACAAATTACATTCATGAAAACAAAACTTTAAAACTATAAAAAGCATCAATAAGTGAGATAAGTACATTACTGTTAAAAGAAATTACTATCTTATGAAATGACGACAAAGGTAATAAGGTCATAGTTAAGAGCAGAGAGTCTAGATGTAGAACCTGGATCAAATTATTTCACCTTTAACACATTCACAACAAGGTCATAATTCACCTTTCTTGCTACCGGGCAGCTCTGAACCACTGGCGGTACATGCATGACTCTCCCATCGGGAGGCGTGGGACAGTCTCATTGGGTGGTACAAGCCATCAATGGGACATTCATGCATGTACCACCAGGAGTATAAGCCAGAGGAAATGCATTAAAAGTCTTAGTTTCCTGAAAAGTGAATTGATGCTTGTTTCCCACTTAACAAGTATTCAAGAAGCAGCTGCAAAGCTGCTGCCATGGCCACTGCTACACCTGGAAGGTATCACTGCATACAGAACTTTAATTTTGGAGTCATAAGACTTGAATTTGAATGCCAATTTTACAATTTAAGTGTTATACTGTGGTCATGGTAGTTAACTATTCAAATACATAGTTAACTCCTCTGTGCTTAACATTTTTTCATATTGAAAACAGTATGAGTACCTGTCTCACAACATCCATCCATTTATCTATTCATCAACATCAGCTTGGTTCCACTTTATACCAAAGATTATTGAGGGTTGAGGTATAAATGGAAATAAGACACAATTCTGCCTTTGAACTACAGATCACAGTCTGGCAGAAAATATATAACCTTCCATGTGTGCATATCTTAAGCCTCCCTCTGCTTTAGACTTAAGAAAGGATCTCAAAGATGAAATATTTTTTAGTGTCACAAGTACTACAGTGTTTTAAAAAGGCAACTTAACCTTGTTAGCAATTGTTATGCAAAAGTGACTAGTTTCTGATATTTTATATTTTGCTATTTTAAGAAAAAATACTATGACGCATTTGGGTCACCAGGAAGTCAGCCTCCGTAGCTGAAACAGTAGTCTTCAGACTGAAAGAAGAAGGGGAGAGCTGGCTCCAATTTCTGATCAGAGAAAATAAGACACCTTGTTTGGAGAGACAGCTCTCTCTCGGTTCATGGGCTGGGAATATGCAGCACATAATATGAGTGCATAAAGATCCTCTGAGTGATCTTTCAAGACCCAAGCGTTCCTGTGAAAAAAACAGCTCTGAAGTCATTGTCCAAGAGGACTCACTATCACTTGATCCCTTGTGAGCCACAACCATCCCTTTATAGAGCATCCTGCCTTGGCACACAGCATGGGAGATTACAGGGAACAAGTTCCTGGTTTCTCTTTTACTTCATCCCAATAATAAAGATCTTATCCTAAAGCTTGCTGGTATTAAGGGTTCTTATTTTGACTATCCCATGTGAGTCACCATGTGAAGGGTAGGACAAGTTGTTCTCCTTTAATATGCTAGTTAACTCAGAGGCTTTATGATGTCTACGACAATATCAGATGATCCCTTACACATAATGAACAAAGAGGCTGTAAATTCATAGGACAGCCTGAATGTCTATTCTTTATATAGAAACAGTGCATGTCAGTGCATCTGTCACCATCAGTTGGCTTTGAATAGCTATTACTTAAACTTTATACTTAAAATCTAACAAATTATAAAGGCAACTCAGCATATACTTGAAGCAATATTAAGTATATTGACACATTTGGTATCTTTAGGAAGTATGTATTATACCGTTATTAAAAATTAAATTTCAGAATATTTTCTTATATTACATTTACATAGCACCACAATATAAGACAATTATATATATAATTTTGAAATCATGTATTTCACTCATAATTGGCCTGGGTTATTAAAAATTTACTTGAGTGGCAGCTATAGACAACACAAAGAATGACTGTGATTTCTGTGTACGTGTGAGAAAAAAATCTAAAAAGCCAATATATTTTTGAAGAGCTAAATGAGAATTATCCAGCAAAAAGGAATATTAATAGCTGTCATGTTGTAAAGTTTCAATTACATAATAAATTATGTTTCAAATGTCTTTACATGAAAATTCTAGTACTACTCAAAAATCATGAAATGTAAAAACCAGTAGTGTGGTTTTTTTTTAAATTAATCACATTTTAGACAGTAAAAGCCTACCGCTTATAGAAAATTCAACGATTTATCCAAACATTGTTACATAAGACGTTTTAAGAAACTGTAAATAATTCTTAATACTCTCATTTTGATTCTCCGACTTCTCAAGACTGTGCTGTATTTCTTTCAAACACACTTCCTGATGCTGTGCTTTCTGCATAAAAAGGGAAATACAATCAATAATAATATATCAAAGAATAAGAGTTATAAAATGTACACAGGGAATAAATGAATACATTATTTTTAATTTCTGAAAAGAATCCTTATATCTGACCTGCCTGTTATTAACTTACTTTAAAGCTCAGTTTTTTTTAAACTTATAATTAAAGCATACACATGGTTGATCTCTATTTTGATTTAGTTTGCTGTAATACACATTTACTTAGCCTCAAATCATTACATAGTTAACATATTAATTTAATAAGCAGGTTTTATTTAACTGTCCTCATTAATTTCCATCACAGTTAATAAGCCATAATTTCATACTAACTTTTCTACTTTTCTCTGCCAAAAATTTATATTTCATTCCATAAGGGTGATCTTTGCTGTTTTAAAAATTGATGGAGGTCTAATTTTGATAACATACACATTTTACTTTTAGAATCCTCTAAAAATAAAAAGAACTCAATATTATAGATGTCCTTTGGGAAAAAAACAATTTTAAAACCTATACTTGGGGCCGGGGATATAGCTCAGAGGCACACTGCCTGCCCGGCAAGCACACGGTCCTGAGTTCTATTCCTAGTACCAAAAACACAAAAACATACTTTAACTTCAGTTAAATTTTAAGTATATTGGTTCAATAAAAATGCTTTAGAGAAAGGATGTAAATACCATCTAGCTTCCAACTAAAATGTAGTCATCTTGAAAAGCCAGATCTTTTATGCCTTTCAGAGAGGTGTTCAACAATAGCTGCTACTTTATGAAACTGAGGACAGCCTCCTTCCTCCAGAGAAGCTGGTGGGATGAGAGAGTGTGCCAGACCTGGCTTCATAAGGTCACAGAATGAATAGTCAATCCCTAGGGAGCATTAATCTTACTCAACCATTTGGAGAGAAAGTAAGACAGGAAGTAGGGTAGAATGTGAAATGCGAATGGATTTTAGGACAAAACATAAGTCTTCAAAGACATTTAGGGTTTCAGGAGGTTGCCCCAGTTAAGCTGATAGTCACCCGAGAGTGTGCACCCACTCCAGCCTGAGCAGAGTACTCAGGCAGAGTGAGCAAAGCACCACCGAAGACATCAGGAACAAAGTCCGCTATCAGACAGGCTCTCTGGGTGCTTACAACTCAGGTGGTGCTAAGGCACGTACCGTTATGTGAAATAAATACAGTACTTAACTGTACACTGAACTGTCCCCTGAAAGGCACAGAACACAAGTGCATTTCCCAGCTATTTCTAAAGCTATACTTAGAATTCTAGATTTTTACTGGTGTACAAATTATGAAAATTATCAACTTTAATGTCAGACAATATCAGAAGCTCTGGGGGTGTGCTTTAAAAGAAGCTTAGAAATAAAGAGAAGACCTAAACTAAGTGATAGTGTATATATATATATTTTCCCCCCGCCCTGGTGCTGGGGCTTTTGCACTGAGCTATATCCTCAGCTCTATTTTAAGTTTTTATTTTTGAGAAACAGTTTCACTAAGTCACTGAGTTGCCTAGGCCGTGTGTGAAATGTGATTCTACTGTCTCAGTCTCCCAGAGTGCTGGGGTTACAGGCATGTACCACTATACTCTGGCTAGCTGTCATGAAATTTTTGATGACAACAAAATTAAACAGTGCATGCCAAATCATTTAACATTTGAGCCTTTTAGGTTTTCAACTTCTAAACTTGGGAATGAAAAAGAGTTTTCATGGAGTCTCCAGCTCTTGGAAAAATAAAGTATCATTATTCTCTATGTTATTACAAGTAAATAGCTATTAAGTAATTTAATCACCACTAATGCTAGCTTCAAGAATATCTATGCGGACTATTTCATGAATATTCAGGAAAAAAACATCAGAAGACTAATTAAACACAGCCAATTTGTTATTCTCATTTCATGGCTGAGAGGATCAAAGCACTCATCTCGGTTGCAGATTTAACAATACTGAATATTTACATACCACCAAATTAAATCTAGGATATAATATTCATTATTCAAGACAGATGTAAAATCTAACTCATTTAATAGTCAAAATTATGTTTATCTTTAAAAGCTGAAAAATTCATACCATGAAGCAAATATGTAGATTATAGCCATAACTTTCATTAAGCAACTGTCACGCAAAAGTAATGTGCAGGGAAGTGGCTGAGGAGATCTGGAGGAATGCAAGAGATGCTACAGGGAAGTGGGGTAGTAAATTGTTCAGCAGGAGCCTGCATTGATACTTTTATGTTTTATATTCTCTATTTTTGTATCATCAGTAAAACAACAGGCTTGATTCTCTTCAATTTGTACTTTATTTAACTAAACTACACGGTATGAATGGTAAATGGTATTTGCTTTTATAATTATATATTAAGCCATACTAATACTTACGTTATTCATTTTGCAAACAAGTTGGTTTTGTTCTTTATTTTTCTTTCTAAGCTCAGTTTCCAGGTCTAGTATTTTAATCTGCAAAGCCCTCTCTCTAGATGACATTTTCTCTATTTCTTCAGAAACCTGCAATTTTTATTAAGAGAGTAAGATAACTGAATGTGTGTTCTTTAAAATACAGCGTAGAGCCTTGGCATAGTCATCCTATGCTATTTTTTCCAAGTAAATATTAATTAGATGTTAGACAATTGGGAAATATTTTAAAATATTCTACCTCTAAGAAGCACAAATAGTATAAATATGTATGCTTGTCTTCATAATGTAAGTATCTGAAAAATGATCTCCAGACAAAAGAGGTATGCACATTTTCACTGCTTTATGAGTTAGATTTTTTTTCCCCAGCAACATGTATTGGAACACACTATGACCAACTGCCCTTTTCAAAGGTATTTAAATTTATCATGGTGTCTACAGTGGCGGTGGAACACTAAAATTTGTTGTTAAACACTGATTATATATTTGGATAGACAGCATGATGTACATACTACACACACACACACACACACACACGGATACACATATACACACACAGATTGGCTTGTCACTCACTCATTTTCAAAGTGGCCTAAATTTGAATTTTCATATTTGTCTGTTTATTTTAACATAAAGTCTTGTTTAGCTGCATTCCTCAAGGACCTGGGTGCGTGGGAGCGCATGTGTGAGAATGCTGGGTTGGGGCCCACAAGGATGCCAGTGGAGGCTGCAGCGGGAGCGGGAACTAGTGGGAAGGACTGCTGTCTACCCTAACCCTTGTGGACTCAGTTCCAAGTCATTCTAAAGTGCATTATATGTCAAAGGTGACTGTGAGTGATGGATGCTAGCAGGCTCTAAGCTGTGGGGGAAAGGGACTCTAGGACAATCATCCATGCCTTGGGCACTGCCCCGTGTGGACAACAGGGAGGGAGCTCTCCTTGGGCAGAAACTAGAGAGTCCCATGCTGCTGCAGTGGAGAGAAAGCAGGACAGACATGCCTCTGAAGCCGCTGGGTTTTCTGGGGAAGGAATTTGAGTACCCTTTGTAATTTTAAAGTCTACTTAAGCTCAATTTAAGGTAAAAATCACCTCTTTTTGTTCCCAAATTGGTGGGACCAAAAAATCTGTACTACATTTCTACCATTGGCAATACACTTCATTATTTAACTTTTATTGAATGATGTATGCTTAAAAATCAATTTACGGGGGCTGGGGACTTAGCTCAGTGGCACAGCGCCTGCCTGGCAAGCGCAAGGTCATGAGTTCAATTCCCGGTACCAGAAAAAAAAACAAAAAAAAACAAAAACAAAAACAAAATCAATTTACATTAGTTACCAAGAGTCTAAAAGAGTCAAAAGATATGTGATGCTTGTGATGTAAGAGTCACTTTTCAAGGATATCAGATTTTATCTTTCATGGAATTAGCATTAATGGGTCTGAGGAACAGCAGAGAAAAGGGTCTGGAAAGAAAAACTCATGATTTGGTTTTAGACGTGTTACGTGTGAGATGTCTATTTTAAGTAGAGAAGCCAAGTAGTAGAATATGAGTCTGGATTTCAGTCAGGGGAGAGGTCTGGGTGGAGAAGTACATCTGAGTCATCAGAGTAGAGATGATCATGTTTTAATGTCATGTCCTATGAGAAAATTTATCACCAGGCATGGTGGCGCATGCCTGCAATTCCAGCCCTCAGAGGCTGAGGCAGGAGGATCACTGGGAGCTCAAGACCAACCTGGGCTACAAAGTGAGCTAAAGGCCAATCTGAACTACATAGTGAGACCCTGTCTCAAAAAGACAAAAAAAGGAAAAAGGAAAAAAAAGAGAGAAAAGTTATCATCTGCTTTTATTGATTAAGAAACTTAGTTTGGAGGAATAATCTGCCCTGGGGCAGGGTACCATGTGTCAGAGCCAGAATTCAAATCTAGTTCTTATTGGACTTCAATGCCCACTTTACATCTTTTCCAGATTAGATTTTCAAATTGTTTGATAAATGTCTCCCTGAGTCATTGCCCTTCACCTCCAGCCTGAGATAACCACACCTTCTGATGCACACTGAAAGGAACACACTTTCTATTACAGCTTCCACACGCGGGATGACATCTGTTTGTTCCTGGTACTCCCTACTGTACGGGGAGTGTTGCACAACTCAGGACTTTTATCTTTGCCTTTAAAATAGTAGCAGAGTGCCTGACAGACAAAGAGGCATTGAGTTAGGCTGAAAACTAACCTCATGGATTTAACTGAAATTTAATTCTTACATGTATTTATCTGTGCAATAAATTTGTCAAAAACAACTTGAGCTTCTTTGCTCAGTAGATCCTGGTCAAAACCAAAATTTGTAGGTATATGCACATTCAACCTATTTTTCTATTTTTTAAAAAAAGGGTCGGTGAGGAGGTTCCATCTTCAAAGTATTTTCCATGTCTGCCTTTTACCTTGCCACATCACCATTTATCTGGTGGAGTAACTCTGGCACAGTAATAGATCTATTTTGCACTAAAGAAAAAGGAGGTGAAAAACAAAAATGGAACCGTTCTCTTTACCCTGTCATCAGGATAAAGACAATAACTGTAGGTTTGACAACATGAAATACTAGCTGTTTAAAAATATCACTCTGGCGAACTGATTAAAAAGTTTCTAAATAAGGGCCATCTGTACCTTTTGTCTGCCTTCTTCTAAAGCAGCTTCAAGTTGCCTGGCCAATGCTGAGTGTTCTGCAGATTTCTCTTTAAGCTTCAGATTGCTGTGCTTAAGACATTCTTCTTGGTTTGCCAGCTTCTTCTCAAGTTCTTTATTCTCTGCATCCATCTGTTCCAATTTTCTTTTTACAGAAAATATATATTTTAAAATTATACTGTGTATGAAAAAAATGCAGCACCAATTTTAAGTCAATTGCATACTTAACTGTTTAAGGTTTTCACACTTCAACTGAATAAGATAATTTTCCTCCTCTAGAGAAAGCTTTGTCAGAAGACTATGATTTCCATCAACCTAAAAGAATATTTTTTTCATTATTTTCTTTATAATCAACTCTGAAAAATCTACATATTGTATCAAAAGAACAACCACAAGGAACAAGATTACATAAATATTATTTCTACACAGAAAGACACCAAGAAATATTACATTGTTAAAAATACAATTTCTTAAATTCTTGGTTAAGTTTTTAAAAAGCTATACTGTCTACATTGGAAAAATCATCAACTAAAATTTTTTCTGGGTAACAGCAATTAAAATATTCTGAGCAATTCTTTATCGAAAAAGGTTATTTTATTAAGTTAAAATATGAAAAATTTAAAACAATATTAATCTATTATTGAGTATTTAGGGTTTCTCAGAGTTTCGTTTCACTTAAAAATACTGATTGATACTGCATATCTGTGACATTGTAACTATAAGTAAAAACCATATTCTGGTAAGAAGCAAAATAAAGCAAATCATTGAAAGACACACTTGCCCATGCCAAGACAAAGTATTCTTCCTATTGCTTCAAAAACAGATGTAAATAGCTAAAGAAGCTTAATATTCATCATCATCATAATTATAATAATAATAGATCTTTAAAGTTCAACTAGGAATTTAGGTAAATATATTTAATTTGACATTTTTAGAAAGACTTCTTCCCAGGATATTAAATTAAATAAAACATTGCCTGCATGTTCTTAAAAACAATATAGACTTAGAAATAAAGATGCAGATTATATTTGCAAGATAGAAAATGAATTCTTCCTAGATTCGGCTTGCAAGTAAAGAAAAATACTTGCTACCATCCTTAGACATACTTCTGTGAGTAAAAAATGACTCCAAAATATTTATTAAGTGCTTCCTATGCGCCAGGCATTGAGGTAGGAAAAGGCTGTGTGATGACTAATAGGACTTGCCTGATCCCCATTCTGATGGGTTAAAAAGTACATACTGAACAAATGGTTTGAAAATAATCTCAGAAGACCTGATGCACAATTCTACTTAACATACATCCTGATGGGTATAAGGTAAGTTACAATAATTCACCTTATCCTGACATCAAAAAACATGCATAATCACATCTTGGCTCCTTTTCTCATGCCATTACCAACCCTGCGGTGTCTAAATACAGATTAGCAAGAATAACCTAATAAGCCATTTTAATTTCTAATTTGTCACCATCAAATACTGCAAGAGTAGCTTGTAAAACACTACACGATCTGCATGGAAATGATGTTACATCCACTGATGCAGATGGAAACAAACAAAATCAACCCCTGACGTGAGTGCCCTCAACTGGTGAAATCACCCCAGGCATTCCTCCAACACATCCTGCAGAACTCAGAGGGACCGCTGGACACCTGGCCCTGCAGCTCCCTAACGGTGTGCGCCTGCTCTGCGCACTTCGCCTGGCAGCGCGGCAAGCTCTCCTGGCACTCCTGAAGCCTCCGTTCCGCCGCCGTCAAGGAATCTCGGACTCGCTCTACCTCCTGCAGATGAGACTCCATCTGGCCTCTCATCTGAGTTGTGGCAGTAGGGGAAATAAGTGCAAAATCATACACTCAGCATGTAGATTCTTACTGTCTTACTCTATATGCATGTTACATAACAAGTATTTTAGGTTCAATGGTGTTAAACAACAATATTTAACCAAATAAATATGAATGATTACCAATTTAGATTTTGCTACATTAGAACAAATAACTAAAACGTGGCTTGATGTTTAGTTTTCAAAAGGTTTGTTCAGCAAATAAATATGGCAATTTTAGCTTGCAGCGCAGGGGCATGTTAAACCTACTGAAGAAAGCAAACTTTTTGAAGTTTGTTATTATATGCAAGCATAGATATTATTACTAAAGAAGTTGGTATACTAGTTGTCTACTGTCCATCCTCCGGTCTAATGTAACTATCACCTTCTGTCACTTAATATTATAACAGATATTGAACTAAATTAGAACACTGTAATTTAGGCCATGCCTGTGGGCCTAAATTGGTGGGGTTTATTATATGCTATGTCAAGACAGCTATCATCAGTTCTCACTGGACTGTATGTCATCATTTTTATGATGAACAAATCTTCTAATTTTATCCACGTTAATCCCCCTGCCTGCTGCAGCTCCTCACTGTGGCACTTTTGTAACATGAAGCAAATTTAAGAAATGCTTGTATTGCTAGTTTCAAAAAAAAGCCAGATGTGACGTTTATTATGTTCATAAGCAGGAAAAACAAGACTGAGAATCTTTCCCTGAGACAGGGAACACCTACAGTTTCTGTGCAATGTCTGCCAGTCGTGATCATAAAATGTAAAACCAGGACAAAGCATACATACCTCTGTGTTTAACAGCCCGTGAGAAAACCAGGAGACTTAAACAAGGGAAAAATAGAATTTCATTTAAAAATTATTTTCCTGGTTGTAGACCAGTAAGTAAAAAGTGGGCCCTCACAGTGGCTGGAAAACACAGGCTCCTACCCTTTCTGCCTTTGGAGCAAGTTTCAAAACTGAGCTTCTTACAGTGTTACCTAGGAGAAGAGAAAATGTGCACTGAAATGTCTCATAAGAAAAAGAGACCAAAAGACATGAAATGGTGCATTCTCTGGTCTGCTAAGCTAAAAATGGGTGAAAAATAATCCCAAGGAAGTAATGGGTTGTGCATTCACTCGATGGGCATCTCCCTGTGTCTCTGGCAGTATGCCTGCTCTGACATTTTCTTCCAGTGATGCCTCACTCTGACTTTTCAACCCCAAAGTATGGAAACACCCCAGTGCTAATAACCTTATTACACGTAGTTGGAACGGACCGCTAATATCCCATGACCTCTCCAGCCAGGGGTCAGCTTCCGACAACTTTTACTGCTTCCTTACCAAAACATGACATTCCAAAAAGGGATGCGGTTTCAGTTAAAAACTTAAAAATATTCACAAAAACATCACCAGTTGCCAGTATTGGCCTTGCCTTTATTCTTTTGCAATAGAGTGAATGAAAGGAAATGATGGCTTTATTTTTTAGGATATCATTTTTCTTCTAAAAATGCATGTAGCAGAGAATATTTACTTTTTAAGATTACTTTGTAATCTTAAAGACATCAAAGATTTATAACCAGTAAAATGGTAAGTTTAGTTTGTTTATGGTTAATATATCTCAGTGACAATCATTTTTTAGTTTAAGTCTCTTTCTGTATCAGAAAATTAAACATTTATGCCATTTCTCCAATATTAAAAAAAAAAAGTGAAACAGCCTCCACACAAATAAACATTTTAACCCTGGAAGAAACATTATTTCTTCAGAGGGGAGAAAAAGAAAGCAACTCCTACAGAGATTGAAAATGGACCATTCCTAGGCATGAACCAGAAAAAAATGACCAAAATGAAAGACTTTTATAGTATTCATAAAATTAAAAAATTATTTTACTGTTTGAAATTTCAAACTTACCATCTCTAATTTTTTATTTTTGTTTTCTGTTATTAGATTATTTTCATGTAGCAAATTTTCATATTTGCTTTTTACCATTTCAGCTGCTTCTTGCAACTTTTGTACCTGAAAACAAAATATATTGTTAGACCACTATGTATTATTTTATTATTAGGACTATGATAAAAAACTAAAAAAAAAAACCTAAAAAACCAAAAATGAAACATGAAAAAAGTTGAAAAAACTAAAAATGAAAAAAAACTTAATGAAAAATTTTTAAAAACTAAAAATTAAAATTTTGACTTTATATAAAGCCTGATTTCCCTACCAATACCCTCACCATGTTTATCTAACATTATTCCTTCTTTAAATACAGAATCACTCAATGTTGTACTTTAATCCACAATCCTTTTACAATTTACCTGTTTCCTGCCAGCTATACTACTAGATTCTTTACTTAAGCTCTGGACTACAGATTTTCATCTGCAGGCAAAAGCCATTTCAAGGAATCAGTCTCTGATCCAAAACAGCTTTCATTCTGGTAATTTTTCCTGTCATTTCAAAGTCTCCAAAAACATCTCAGTACTTTATGTAAGTCCTAGCAGTTAGAATATGATAACTCAGCTATAGATTCTTGCTGTGGGATTATACCCAAATAATCAAGTGAAAGACTCAGATGACCTTCTTGCTATAGGTTCAAAGTCTTCCAAGGCCTCTGTTCTTACTTCTCACCTGGTCTAATCTAATTGGATGTTTCAACTCCATTTTCCTATCAGTCCATTGAGATAGAGCCCTTTCCTATTTGCCTAGACTTTGCCCCAACTTAAGCCTCTATCCTTAATTCATTATTCCTTTTTGATTTTTGGCAGTCTAGGAACTGAACCCCAGGGCCTTGTACATGCTACATATAGCTCTACTATTGAGCTACGCCCCTACCCATCATTATTCTTTAGTTCAAATTCTCTTCCAATGAAATCAAAACCTTTAATGACCAATTTGTTTCTCATCATGTATCTGTATTAGTTTTGTTTTTTTCCATAGATTTTTCTTGAACGCTACATTTCCAAAACATGCAACTTTTCTATAAATTGTCATGAATACATGCTCTATGTTATATGATGTCATGTTTCCTTTGTAGGCCTTTATCTGAATAAATCTGAACTATACTTTCTTTACTGGGAAAGGGGATATAATGGCATTTAATGATCTTGAAAGAGAGTCATTATTCTACTTCAATACAATTATGCATAAAGGGTAACAAAAAGTGTAACTAATATTAACAAGACTCTACATTAAGATTTCATATTATAACTATGCAATGAACACTAAATCTAGTTAGGAATTTCCAATTTATACACAGGCAGGTTTCAGTGAGGAATTGGCAGAATTATCTTTTCATAAATATATTTGGGATCTTAAGATATGTTTGTGGGGCTAGGGATATAGATCAGTGGTAGAACACTTCCCCTGCATGCGCAAGGCCCTGGGTTTGAGCCCTGGCACTGCAAAAAATAAACAAATAAAAAATGTATGCTTGGGGTATATTATATTACATCACAAAATGATAGTCCACCTTTTCCAGTTCTGTTTATTTAGGTCATAAACAAATACAATGCCTTACATTATCTACAAATTTTAACAAACACTAAAATACATGTAGTGGTCACCTGAGTTTTATATATTTCAATAAGGCCTTTCTGTCGCTTTTCTACTTCTTGCAGTTCTAAGAGTTCATTTTCAACAGAAACAATTTCTTCCTTCAAACCAGTAAGTGTGGTCTACAAAGAAATATATAATGGATTTTATAAGTCACTAGAATATATACTACTCCAGTCCTATAGAATTATAAAAATATAACTCATTTGTCAACAAAAGTAATAAAAGTCATTTTTATTATATACAATTACCATCTAAAATTTTAAAACTTTGAAAAGTTAAGGAGTAACACTTGTGCACAAATTTACTAAGATTTACACAGACATATATTTTTAAAAAAACTTTTAAAACTCATTGACCACAAAGGACTAGGAAAATAGCCTATGTTTCTGCATAGGAAGAATCAATAATTGTTGTCCTACCAGTTATTTCAAAAATCAATAAAACATTTGATAGTTTCAACCAAAAGTATAAAGAGTTGTGGGTATATTCATTGAAGAACAAATAGAAAAAAATGTAATTTTGAAAGGAATACTTGGCAGAAAATGTCAATGTTTACTAGATATTGAAAAGTAGAAAGAATACAAAATATTAAGATGATAGCATGAATATAGAGAGTGGTAGAAAAGAAAAAGGATATACGAAAATTGCATTTAGCACAGTGGTACCTCAGTTCATCAGCTTAATTTGTTTCATGGTTCTGGAAAAGATGGCCACATTTGTGTTCCTGCAAAAAGATGGCCAAGGTCCCATTCAACACCAGATGTGGAGTTCACAAACAAAAACAAAATTTTGCCAAATGCTTCTGTTTGCAAACCAAATTGTTCACAAACAAAAACCTATGTAAACTGAGGTACCACTGCATATGATAAAAGTTGGACTTTTCGTTTGTGTCTGGTATTGGGAATTAAATGCAAGATCTTTGCACCAAGCTGTCATGGTTACTTTTCTCTTGTTGCTGCGATAAAATACCTGAAGCCCCAAATTAATGAAGGAAGGAAAGGTTTATTCAGCTCATAGTCTGTGCAGGTTTTAGTCCATACTTGGCTAGCTCCAAAGCAGAGTGGCACATGGCAGAAGGCAACAGTTCATAGCAGGGGAAGACAGCCAGAACCAACAAGAACAAAAGGGAGGAGGAGTGGCAGCAAGCAGCCTCTTTCTCTCTTACATATGCAAACTATCTGCCCCAGGGCAGGTGCAGCACTCACACCCATAATCCCAGCATTGGATCATGGATCGATCATAAACTCTAAAAGCCCACCTCATGACTGCATGAGGCTCCGGGGAGCCATCCAGACACAAACCATAACACAAGCTACACCTTCAGTCCTATCTGTCTATCTATCTATCTATCTGTCTGTCTGTCTATCTATCTACCCACACATCCATCCATCCATCCATCCATCCATCCATCTAGTTTTATTTTGAGACAAAGTCTTGCTATGTTGCTAAACTACCCAGAGTGGGCTCAAATTTGCTATCCTCTTGCCTCTGGCTCCCACAGTGCTAGGGTTTACAGGAAGAGGAGGAGGAAGAAGAGAAGGAAGAGGGGGTAGAACTCTAGAACTGCTTGGTTCTGTTTTGTTTTGTCTTTTTGAGACAAGGTCTCACTATGCAGTTCAGGCTGGTCTTGAGCTCACTTTGTGGCCCAGGCTGGTCTCAAACTCACAATAATCCTCCCGCCTCAGCCTCCAAAGTGGTGGGATTACAGGCATGCACCACCATGCCCAGCTCTAGAACTGTTAAATGTATTGTTTTGGTATATTTTCACTATATCCTAGCAAAGTTTACATAATTCAAAAGATGAGAGAAACCAAGTTTGTAATTACAAAATGTAAACAAAACTGTGTCCAGTAATTTTTTCTTTCCTTCATCTAAATATATTAATCTTGTTTATTCCACTATATCATTATATGGCCCTGTACAATATATTTAATCTCCCTCAGTGTAATATATTAATCTATAACTGAGAAAAATAAAGGACTGATATAAGAACCAACAGTAGAGAATGTAAAGTGCTTAGCAAATCACCTCGTCTACTAAGGAAGACTGATACACAGTAGCCTTTCTTGTTACTAACAGCAATTTATTAACTGTTCCAGGCATAGCACCAGGTGCTAAAAATAAATGCACAATGAAAGGCAATCTCTGGTCCCTGCTCCTGATATGTGGAGGATGAGGAAAAGTAGTAAATAGGAGGAAACAAATTATGCACACAAGCAAATGCAGTGAGGGTCTTCTACATGCTAGCACACACAGAGAAAAGTGAGCACAAAATGAGGAAAAAGTGAGTTACATGCACTATCAGTGAACATGCCCTGGCAGCAAAGAGAATTAAAGAATCTTCTGTTGGAGGACTAACCCCACATTTCCTCATCTTACCAAGTCTATTTAATAAAGAGAAGAGACCATTAGCCAACAAAAAACAAAATATTTGTGATGCTTCTGGAAAACGGATGACTGATGAGTAAAGCAGGAATGGATTCACTCCCCAAGAAACAGAAACAAGGAAGGTTCTTCTCTAAAGAAACCAACTGTCTGGGGAGAACTAGAACAGAGGGATGCTGTTGGTGACTAGGGCAAAGATGCCTATGCTCGTGTGCCTATGCTTTTTAGAGACCACCAGGGAAACTGCTGGTTCCTCAACTGCAGAAGGAACTCAAGTGACAGCTATCAGAGGTAACAACCATCTACATATGCAAATTAGTTTTTAAATTCTATTTTCTTACTAGCTTTTCCTTCATCTCATTGGTAAATTCTTAAATGCTGTCACTAGACAGTTGGGTAAACAGAGCAGCAATGTGAAGAAGAAAGTCCCCCATATTTTTTCAGTTGAAAAAAAAAGGAAAGAAAAAAATGAACCAGGAAGTCACAAATTAGGAAACTGATAAAGAAAACTGAGAAAACAATCCTAATTGGCACCTTCAGACATTTGATGACACGAACACTCAGAGAACATTAAAAAAAAAATTGATCTGGACACGGTGCCTTGTATCCCAGTTACTGGAAGCTGAGGCAGGAGAATCACTTGAGCCAAGAAATTCTCGGTCAAATTTGACAATGTAGTCAGAGCCTATGTTTTTAAAAACTTGGAAATTAAAAATTTTGAAAGAAGAATTATAAGATAAAAACAAAGCATCTCCCAAAAGCTGAACAAAAGCCAGAAACTGAAGACAGACTATTGATCAAGGCAGCCAATGAGGAGCACTGTCAGCGGTACACCCAGGAAGGGAGACGGGAGATGGAAAGGGGCAGAGGAGAGAGCATTTGTTACAGAAGAAACAGCAGGAGAATTTTTCAGAGGGAAGGACTTGAGTTTTTGGACTTACAAGGTCGACAAAATACTCAGCCAGGTGGCTAAGAAGACAAAGACACTTAAACAAAATGTATGAAATTTCAAAACTATCAAGGATAGAGGGAATAGCTTACAAATTTCAAGATGAACTAAACATGTCATTACAGCACCAAAGAATCAGAATCAGACTGGCAACAGATTTCCTACACCAGTAACTGACTGCTAGAGGACAAAGGAACAAATTCTCAAAGCTCTACATGAAAATTATTCTCACTCTAGGATGCTATATCCAACTGAAACCTTCAGCCAGAATGAGGGAATAAAGGCACTTTAGCGACATGTAAGAACTTTTAATATTTACTTCTCATTGTCTCTTTTCTAAGGGAAGGTTTCTGAAGATATATTCAAGCAAAATGAGGAGTAACAAGAAAGACAGCATGGGGTCCTAGAATCAGCAGAACCGGCAGAGCAGGCATATGACCCAGCAGGGCCTGTGGGTGACAAGCCTGGGAGCAGCCCATCCAGACAGGAACTGGAAGACAGACGGTTGCTCCAGGAGAAGAAATCTGGGGAAAACAGATTCTTCAGAGAACAAAATATGATAAGAGCTTCAGGAAAAAATAAGATCGTGATAAAGGTAAAGAGTACAACAAACAAGGTATAAACTCCAGGAAAAAAGGAAAGGCTGAAAAAGAAATAAATTTGTAAACATATTATTAGAGTCTGAAGTGAAAGAACAATTACACACTGTTGTCTGTATTTAGAATTAATCTACAACAAGAGCAGCTAGCCAGCTATGGTGGCACACACCTGTCAGCCCAGCACTTTGGTGGAGGCCGAAGCAGGAGGATCACCACAAGTTCCAAACCAGCCTAGGCTATATGGTGAGTTCAAGGCTAGCCTGAACTACATAATAAGACCCTGTCTCAAACAAACAAATAAATAAACTCAAGGTTACTGAACAAATTGTCAGTGTTAACTCTGGCAGTACAAATGGAAACTGAGAAGCAAACGTGAGAGGAGAGACAGAGGAAAAGACAAGCAGAAATCGGTATCCTTATTTTAGAAGATAGGAAGTCAGGTACATAATCTGTCTATGCTCCACATTTATCCAGGGAAGCTCCCCTGAGAGTACAAGTACTTAGGGAACGATGTCAGTATCACAAAGAAGTCAATATTGCTGAAGTACCATTGTTTTCCAGCTTGTTAGTAGTATGTACCATCACAAACATTAGCTGAATACAAAGCGCAGAGATACAGCTAAACACAAAGTCCAGAGAAGTACACAGGGTACACAAAAGTACATCACACAACGTAGTGATTTTACTATTTCCTTTTAGTACTTCTGTAGTTTCCAAGTCTACTGTTATGAGTATATATTCCTCCCTCAAATGATAATAATAGAAGTTGGAGGAACTGTTACACTGAATAATTGTATTTCACTTATAAAGAAATTCATATTACTTGAAGGAGAAAAGATATAGAATTTCCTGAAAGAAAATTAAATTTTGAAAAAGTTAAATTTTGAAAAAAATGTACCTCTTAATGCTAGTTGTGACTTTGATGTTTTAAAAAAAATGTTTCCTAACAAGAAGAAGCCAGATTATAGTATGCTAAATAAGTTACGGTGAGAAGAACAGGTCCTTGCTACTACTACTTGGCACGTATATCACTTAAATTCTCATCATTTCCATTTCCTCTACTTTTTTTTCTCAGTGCTAAGGATTGAACCCAGGGTCTCCCCACTTGCTAGGCTGGCGCCCTACCACTGAGCCACATCTTTAGCCCTCCTTTATTCATTCTTTCATCACTAGAGGCAATAGGGCTCAATTTTAAGTGCTCCACTTCAAATTAATCAAGTCTTTCCATTTGGGATGAAATGGGTTTGAGATCTAATGAGCTTGGACTTGCCCACTGGTCTAAAAAAGACTGAAACTGAGAACCAAAGTGACAAAAGTTACCAACTCTGTAAACCAACAGGAGGAAAAGCGCTCTCTTTTTTTTTAACTAGGGCAATCTCCTGTCTTTCTGTCATATATAGTAATCAACTTTTAATTATTACACACTGTACTGTGTAACACTAAATGTCTTCTACAAAAGCAGATCAGTACCCAGAAAATAGGTACTGCTGCAAATATATGCCAAAATCCACAATGGATAAAATTCTCTGGAAGATGGTGTTTTAGAGATACAGAGAAAAAAATGTCGAGAAACGTGAAAGAAATTTGGGTGTATCTGCAATTTTCATCTCAGAAATAAACTTTGTAAAATAATCATTATGTCTTTAAATGTGTACTTTCCCTGTAAAGAAATTCATAACATGTCTAGTCCAATTTTTATGTAATGTCTATATAATTCAAAACAGCTGATAATTATAATTTTTCCAATAAAAAGAAATAAATACATTTCTAATGCAAAAACATCCCAAACAAATAAACCAAAACCACTTAACTCTTTAAAAGTGTAAGAAGGTCTTCGCACTTTTTATAATTAAAGATCTTTCCTCTCAAGTACTATCCAAATTAAAGACATCTTAATATATGGAATAAATGTACATCTGTTAGGTAGTTTTGAATAAATGATAAATTAAACCATTATAAGTAAGGAAATGTAATGTTCATTTTACAAATTGTTTAAATATGTATTCTATGTTACAGAGATGCCAATATTCTATTTATCCTGTGCACAAAGGCCTTATTTCATTGCAAAAAAAGATTCTTCTCGGTCTCCCGTTTTCTATCCTCCCCAGGTAATGTTAGAGACTAAATGGAGCCTTCTTCAGTGAGTCTCCTCGGGTTACATGCACCTCCTGCTGACTGGGAAACAGCCTTTTTTCTCAGAAAGTGTAAAAATTTCCCTGTCTTTTCTCTGGTACACGTACAAACTGATCACCCCTTGGGTTTGACTCAGCTGGAAAATTCTTTCTGGTTACAAAGCAGCCAAGAACATACTTTCTGGTTTCAAACAGACCAGGCCTGAGGTTATATCCTATCATAACCATGACACCTAGAAATAGTCTTAAGTGTTAGAGTTAATGTAATTTTGGATAATTTACTTAACTGCTGAAATTAAAGAGTAAATCAATTTTTTAAAATTTAAGATAAAGAGATATTCAACTTCAAAAGGCTTACTTTGTACTATTAAATACAATTTGAACAAGTATCTGTGTACACATTTATATATATACATATATATGTTGTATGTATATATATATATATGTATGTGTGTGTGGAGATACACACATACAAATAAATTAGACAGTCACCTGTTGTAATGAAATCATAATATCCTGAGAAACAAAAGGGACAACGTGATACAAGCACACTAACCAAACCTACAAGTCTCTTTAAACTGCTTTCACTAACTACACTAAGTTGTCATTATACACTATACACACATATACACACAAACACACAGTACCTTTAGTTTTGTATTCTCAAGATTCAGAGCTTCATTTTCACATTCAAGTGACTGTAGGTTTCTAAGAATCTCTTCACATGAATTTTTTCCATGGGCTTCAATTTTCTTCAGGTCTTCCAAAAGGTTATCAATTTGCCTTTATAAAATAAACATCTTATAAAAGCTACTGAAATTATTGTTCAAAGAACGCATTTTAAGTGCACATGTAAAGTCATTTCAGTAGGGTGCACTGTTTCAAATAGGGAGCTTACAAAAATGAATAGAATTTATACAGCACAGGAAGCAGGAAGAGTGAATCTATAGGGTTACCACCAGAGTGGCCTTGGTGAGAAACGATTATCCAGTGATGAGGCCAATAAAAGTTATACAATAATCTCTGTTATGCAATGAATTTCCAAAACCATCCTCCCCAGATGTTCATGCCCATCACTCTTATTTGCGTGCATGCAAGTTATTTATACACTATTTTGAGGAAGAGTTTGAAGAGCACAAATCAAAGAAGGCAATCTAATCTTTAGAAGCAAATTATGTGTTAGTTTTCAACAATAAAACTAAACGAAATACATAAACAATACAATATAAGAATATTAAGTGATCGTAATTGTTAGATTGTTGTAATAAATCTCAAAGCATACAAGATGTATCTTTACGCACACTTTTAGTTATGCATTTAAGTCATTGTAAGAAATATTTTTAGGACTTCCAAAGTTTTTATTTGTTATATTCTAAACTGTCTTACAGACTATATACATTCTTGTTTGAGAAATGCCACTTCAATTTAAGACGAAGTTAGTATTAACACTTACTATAACTAATAAATGACATACATTCAATTGCAAACTACAAGGTTTTGCAAGCTCAACTTTTAAAATGGGAACGCCCATGCAGCTTTAATGAGTAATCATTTTTTATAATACAGTAAGAAAAGTTCACAGAATTACAAATGGCAAAAATATATTACACAGGTAGCACAGTACCTTTACCATATGAACTCCAGAAGAACCAAAATACCAACACTGAAAGAGGAAAGACCTAAAAATACCTCTTCCTAAACAAAAACCTAAACTCTTTTCTTACTTTTTCATTGTTTCGATCTGAACTTCTAACTCAGTTTTTTCTATTACAATTTTCTCATAATGGCTTTTCCAGGCATTGGACGCTGAAACCGTTTCAGACAACTTGGCTTCCTAAAAAACACATAAAGTACTCATCTTACAATTTAAACACATTCTGCTTGCTTCAAGGTCCTAAACACAAATTCATTACAATAAGAAAACACTCTTCCAATAAAGCATGGAATTTTATTATAGAATAGTGTTTAACTTTGCATATAGGAAAGTTTTAAACTTTAACAAAATATCTACATTGCTATTATTTATATTCACACAATGGCAGTTCCAACTTAGCATTTTAAAGTATGGCAATTTAAGTATTTTAAAATATTTTATAATTAAGGTAATTTCTTATTTATTCAACTTTTCATTTCACATTTTAAGTGTAGAAGATGCTAACAATTACAGAAACATGAACAGTATAAATAGAAACTATTCCTTTTTTTATTTATTTATTTATTTATTTTTCTCCGGTACCGGGAACCGAACTCACAACCTTGCGCTTGCCAGGCAGGCGCTTTGCCGCTGAGCTAAATCCCCAGCCCCTAAATAGAAACTATTCCTAATTTCACCACTTCAGAGAATCCAATAGTGCAGCCTTACTTATCTTTGTCACAAGGATGCAAGCTCTGTTCTGTAGAGATCACCCATACCAGCTACTAAGCACTGCTACTGTCAGCAAAGAACTGAAAGTGGTAGTAGTGTCTAATCCATTTCGAATGAAAGGGATTTTTGTCTATTTTATTCATCATTCTATTTCCTTGGATCGTCATAGTGTCTGGAACACAGCACACATGTCAAAGCTCTCCCAAGAGCCACCTAAAAGTTGTAGCCACTGTGCGCCTACCTACATTCCAGAGAAAAACAAACTGAATGTGATTTGGTTTGCTAGCAATGAATTATAAATCAGAAGACCCAGAAATAGTGACAGTAACAGTTCATGTTTATTGAGTGATTCCTTCTATCCTTTCTTTTGGCAAACAAGCATCTGGCCATTTGCTCTGTGCAAGATAGAAATTATTTACAGTTTTTCATACTACAGTTATAGTAGTATTTGTCTTTTTCTTTTTGAGATAAGGTCTCGCTATGCAGTTCAGGCTGGCATTGAGTTCACTTTGCAACCCAGGCTGGTCTCAAACTCGCAATGATCCTCTTGCCTTAGCCTCCCGAGTGCTGGGATTACAGGTGTGTACCACCACACCCAGCTTCATAATAATTTTTGTTATGAAAGGGATAGTACTTTTATATTTTATTTAAGATAAAATTTAATATAAATTATGGAGCATGATTTGGGTATAATATACATTATCAAGTATGCATTTATATTATAATATAAATTAAGATATTTAGATATTTTACCTATAAAATGGAATTTATACATGAGATATGCAATTGTTACCTAACATTCATATGGAGTATAGTACTTAATTAGTTGTGACACTCCTAGAATGCAGAAACTAGTCAATGCTATATCACCTTCTGAGAAAAGACTTTTTGAAGTAGCCTACCTTTCATTTAAAGAAATCTCACATCCAATAACTAGATGTAAATAAGGATCTACTTTCACAGAGAACATATGGATAATTCTTTAGTGTGCAGAATTACAGGGCATTTAGCACCCTGGACCCTAGACACTAAATATCAGAATCAGTTCAACCCAGCACTTTCAAAACCCTCCTTTCTTCTTTTAGTCATTTTTAAAACACAGACACAAAACAAAAGCTTATTTTACCCTTCCTTCCCCTGGACTGAACTGCTTATGAACTAGTATCTAATGACCTTCTAATGCCCAAAGACCATGCACTCTTTCAAATCCTCATTCTCCTTGAAGTACCCGGTATGTTTTAGGCACTGTATAAATGTGATGACTTTTTATTGAATGGTCATTAAGTTCTTGTTGAACTCTTCAAATTTTGGACTTAAGATACAGTTTAAGCAGTGGTATTCTCAGGTGAATGGGATAAATCAGCTCCTGCCACTTGGAACTTATAATCTACTAAAGGAAAATAACATTAAAAACAATGAAAGAGGAGGAAGAAGAGGACAGCAACAACCAAAGAATAAATGAGAACTTTGAATTGCAATAAATGCTATGACAAAACTTAAGTATTAATATAATTGATTCTGTAGAACTGATTCTTAAGGAGTAGGCATGGAGGCCTCTGAGAAGATGGCAGATGAAAAAGTACTTAAATGATTTTTAAAAAGAACCACTTATGGTGAGCTGGGGAGAACAGCACAGACAGACAGACGGCCCCACCCAAACAAACAAATTGCATGCATTAGAGGACAGAAAGGAGTTCAGCATGGCAAAAATGTATTATAGGCATGCACCGTATTTTGACATATATTTTCTCATGTATCCACCCACAATCATGTAAGACAAGCAGATTCATTATTCCTGATTTCACAGAAAAGGAAGTAGAAGCTTACAGAGGTTAAGTTTTTACCTAGAGTCACAGGGTTAAAGGAAGGAGCCCTTCCACACTATGACCTGGGGCATAGGTGATGCTATTTCAATGGGAAACACTCAAGAATGTGAAAGGCTCAAAATTTGTTTTTACCACTCCAGAATATTTTCAATAATTCAACCATGTCAACAACTTTCTAGACTTAGAAACTAGTCTTCAGTGCTTATGAATGTGGGTTAAATATTAGGTCCTTAAAATGTTAACACTTGGGGTTATAAAATATTAAGTTGCTTTGTTTGCACAAGCTTTTGTGCAAGTCTGTTTTCACTTCTAAGAGCCTCTGATAATTCTATAAGCCTGAACATAAGTTCTTAAGAGATGGGATACTAGTGAGACATTAAAAAGAATAAATATTTCATTAGTTGGCAATTGAATAAATATAATAATTTGTCAAAAACAACAAAGCACTAAGTCCATTTTTCAACTCTGTACTATACTCGAAGATATCTTTCACATGGTGTGTTTACGTCAGCATATGGTTTTAAATGTATTACAGAGATTAAATGAAATGAATTACTGAATAAAGTCATATGGTCTAATAACATAAATCAGCATTTTCAAACTGATATTTCTCAGAACCAGTTCCAAGAGCTGCTTTGTGGGGAAAAGAGTTTTGTGGTTAAATAAGTGTGGGAAACTTGTAGTTCCATACCCTCATTCCACTGGGCTTCTAGAAGCCTCTCTAGGAGCTTTAATATGCTAATGTATTATGAAGGGTTACCCTTATTTGGCCTTACAAGTTCTGTGCGTGTGTGTGTGTGTGTGTGTGTGTGTGTGTGAGAGAGAGAGATACAATTAACATTTCCTTTCACTAAAGCTCCCAAGGAAAAGTTGATATAATTATAATTCAATAAATTTTGTATTTTTATTATTGCAAAATAAAAGACTGAGGCAAAAAATATGAGTAAAGTTTTTCTAGTATCAACAGCATTAGAAGACTAAAATTATTATATTAAGCATCATGGCATTAACAACGTAAACTAAGTACACACACAAAGTACATCTTTGAAAACGAACGTATACACGTACTTACCTGATCCCTAATTTGGGAGGTGAGGTGCTCAGCATCTCCTGTAAAATGTTCGAATCTGTGTTTGTAGATTTTGGACGCCTTTTTCAGAGCTATAACCTTTTGCTTACTTGCTTCTTGCATGGCTGCAGCCTCATGCTTATTTGTTCTCAACTGCAAGTTCCATTTGGCTATTTTGGTTTCTAAGCTCTAAAAAAAATATTAACAATTTAATTATTTCAGAAAGCCAATGTTTGCATAAACATCATAAAAACATGTATATCATCTGCACAGATCTTATCGAAACAGCTAGTCCTAAGATGAATAAAAGAAAAAAATGTGAAGAAAGATGATTTCAGCCATGTTTCTTTGTAACCAGTTATAAAAATTATAATTTTAAAATATTGAAATTTACATAAAACTAATGCTACCTTATTAAATAGACTAATATTGGTGGCTATGATATAAATACTATCTTCTTTAAAATTTCTGTGATTTATTAGGACATCTTTAACTTCATATCTAGAATGACACATAGAAATAGTTTTAAAAACTAATTTAAAAATTGATCTGGAAATTATCCAAATAAGAGGCATGCAGAGTTCAGAACGAACTGGTAGCTCCCAAAATATACTAGTACTCTTTAGTTTCAATGATAAAAGCTTAATCCTCAAATACATTAGTATTTTTTATTGGGAAAGATAAAAGCTTAAGGAAGATATGATCAAAATTATGAAGGGTAAAAATGAGATGAACATAGACTTACCAAATTTTAATTTACTCAAATTAAGGAGCATGCCCAGACACTGGAATAAAGTTACATTAAGGACAATAAAAGCACTATTTTACTCAATGAGTGGTACATTTTTGGAGGTAATGATTGACTCCAACACTAAACACATGTTTAGGTAAATCAGTGACTATTGTATGTATAATATCAGTAAAGGTAAAAACATCACTGAGGACAGGCTCTTACTAGTTGAGTGTGATTACGTTAACCGGCATGATCATCTCTGATGTATTTCTTGGTAACATAATGAAAGAATCTTATTACTCTAGGGGGATAATGGATCTGACTTAGTGTGACAGCTTTCATGTTTTTATTTTAAATTATTTTAAGATTTTTGTATTGAAAGTATCTGGGTATTATATATGTAAATGTTAAAGACAAAATTTTAATGCTTTTACATTTTTGAGGATATGTAATACTGAAAAGAATGTGAAATTATTACAGAATTTGGGTTCTAGTCTTTTATGCCCCAGACAGTCATTTTAGTAAAAAAAATTTCAAAGGAGTCACAGAAAAGACGGGGCTTTTCAATTCTGTATCACAAAAACCAGACGTCTTAACTGTCACTAACAAAGCACATTTTTGGATTTAGCTTTGATCTCTTTTTGAAAGGTGACTGGGTAAACTAATAGAAGTAAAAGCACATTCTTAAGCTGTCTTTAAAATATTGCATGCCTGTAATCCCAGCTGCTGAGGAGGCTGAGGCAAGAGAACTGCACGTTCCACGAAGGCTTGTGAGACCTGTCTCAAAATAAAAATTTAAAAAGCGGTGGGTGTGTAGCTCAGTGGTACAACGCTTGCTAAGCACAGGTTCACTCCCCAGTACTGAAAAAAAAATTTAAAGTAAACTAAAAGTCTTATGAAAGATTGCACTGAGTAGCTGGGGGAAAAACAAGAACAGGACAGCAAGTCTCTACACAAGAGAAAAGACCACTGCACAGAAAATATAACTGTCATTCCTCTTACAAGCCACCGGGTGTCATCATTGTACCATGAATACAGTAAATGCTACACGTAAGTAAAAATCCTTTCATGTTTGATAGTTTAAGTAAAAAGATTTTTTTTATAAAACAATCTTATAGGGGCGGTCTTTTCCGAAGACCTGGCACGATGGTGGAAGTGGAGCAGAAAAAGCGAACCTTCCGCAAGTTTACGTACCGCAGCGTGGACCTCGGCCAGCTGCTAGACATGTCCTCTGAACAGCTGACGCAGCTGTACAG